TTGAAGAATACGGGGCGGGTCCTGTCACCTAAATATTATGATTTAAGTGTCACAAGGCCCAAAATTGTAACACCCCGACTCCAAATTTAATTCCTATTTTAATTTATTTAAGTGAAATTACGAATTTACCCTTAGGGTAGGGGTATTTGGTCATTTTCTTATTCGGGAAGAGTTTAGGGCAGTGACTGGAATTTTTGGGTTGGTCGTGCTGAGACAAATCCGTAGACATGCGGTAAACTTGAATCGGAGTTGTAATGAAGATTTGGTGATCAAAATAACTTTAGTGGCAAACTTGTAATTATTTCGAAAAGAGTAAAATTTGATTTTTTCACTTTCAAACTAGAGGTGTCAAAGGGATGGGCCGGCCCAGCACGACACGAGCCCAGCCCATTTAAATGAGGTGCGGCACGGCATGAGCACAAATAGTAATGGGCCGTGCTCAGCACGATACGAAAACTTAGGCTAGGCCGGGATAAAAAATGAGGTCCAATGGACCGGGCCGGCCCACGGCCCGAGCCCGCTTCAAGCACGGCACGAGCCCAGGCACGACCCAAGCACGGCCCACTTAACTTTTTTTTCTTTCTCAAAAGTCAAAATGCAAAAATTTGACATCTAATATCATTGTTTATATGTTTTTTTTATTTAATTTTTTATAATCATAAACATATATTTGATCTCTTTCATTTAGGGAAATTTCTTGGATCCTTAATTAATTAAATATATAAACTACAAATTAATTTAACAACATTAGACTTGATATCTAATTAGTACATATGACATATACGTTTATCTTATAATCAAAGTAAGACATTTCTTCACATATAAAATAATAAGTTGTTTAAGGATAAAAAGTTGAAGTGGACTTTGGGGAGTTGTACACTTTTTGCCCTCCACCTTTATATTGTTTGGATGTTTGATTGATTAATGTTTTCAAATAATTCATCATTTTTTGTCTCTAATTATATTTTTAATGTTTATAATTTGAATTATCAAGTAAAAAAAAATGAATCAAGTGAAAAAACTTTAAATTAAATGGGTTGGTTCTTGGCCCCGAGTATGACACGAACACTGCCCGGCCTGTTTCAATGTGGACATGGGCTTTGGGTCGGGCTGGGATTAATGATTTTACTAAATAGGCCGGCACGGTACGGCCCAATAAATTAAATGGGCCGGCCCGGCACGACACGAAAACGTTAAAAGCACGAGTTTAAATGGGACGGGCCGGCCCGACACGGCCCATTTGACACCTCTATTTCTATCTATCTATATATATATATATCTCTCTCTCTCTCTCCCTGTCGCCAACAGCCCCCTTCCCCTTCGTTTTCTCACAGCCGTCACCCTCCAAGACTACCGCCGCCGCCACAGTCAAAGATTGGCCTCGAGACCGGTCTCGTTCGAACCACCACCTCTCCCTTGTTCTTTCCGGACCAGTCTCAGCCATCACTGTCCATTGTGCTCGTCGAAATTAGTCGAAAACGAGCCGGATTTGATAGAATTTCTCACCGCTCGATCTCTCTCCTCCAGCCACCAATTCCGACGAGTGAGGTATGGTTTCTCATCCATGTTCCGAATTCTAGCTGGCTGTTGCATAGGATTGGATCGATTTTGAGTATAGGATATCGATTTTGAAACCTAGGTTTTGGCCGAATTTCAAAGTGAAATTCCGACCAGTTGCCATCCAAATTGGACATTCTCGTAGTTGACTAATGTGATCCTTACCTCGAGAAGTATATAGGATAGGAAGGGTGAACGGTGATGTGGAGTATTTTCCATCGCCGGAAATTACTCTACACAACCCACGCGCTGTCGGTGCGTGGGAAAGGTGGGGAGGTCGCATTCCTATCCTGTTATAATCATTGTGTTGTCACGAGCGCGTAGGTGTGCTTGGATTTCAATTCGGATGTCATTTGACTATTGAACAGATTTCGCATATTGTGCATTATTATCCGGGTTCGATAGGTTCTGACCTTTAGATCGTTTCCAAATTAAAATATGTTGATCTAGGTAGTTCTAGAATCGTGTAGGATTTCGCGGATCGTGAATTGGAGCCCTGAATGTTCCAATTCAATAATTCGAAATGTGGTTTCCGACCGTCCCTTTCGGACCACACCTGCAAGATGTAATTCCTAACCCGTAGTCGGACCTTAGGATATCTCGTTCTACGTACACGCACCGGGAACTTGGGGATTTAAGTATTTAATTTGTGATTTCCGTTTTGAAGTGGCGTTATATTAATTAAGGGCTCGTACATCGAATTAGGTGCTCCGATCGATCTCACACAGGATGCGGGACCCTTTCGGAGCCAGGCAGCTTGGGATTATCTGTGAGTGGACTTTGTTTTCAATCATACACATGGTTTTATTGGTAAAAGATTTATGGATATGTTTTAAATGGTATATGAGATATAATATATATTTGGTTGTTGAATTTGATGTTCTTATAAGCTGTGGCAATATGTTTTGGGTGGTGATATATTTGAGTATCGTGAGTATGTTTATATGGATTTTGGGAAATTCTAGCTATGTTGTCTATGTGTTAGGTTGTTGAGGTGAGATTGTGGAAGGATTTGAGTATGAGGAGTTGTTGAGAGAAGTTGCATGATTACACTTTGTAAGTACCATCCCCTTGTTACTAGGCTTTCCACACGTGACGTTGGTAGTTCCGGCATATGAGAAGAGTATGTTTATTGCTTGGAATCATCACACATGGCGTTGTTAGTTTCGGTGTGTGATGATGTAGTCTACGCACGTAGGACTTAGTATTGGAGCTACACGTGGCGTTGGAAGTTCCGGCGTGTGAGCTATAGAGTTTCGTCCCCCGGTTGGCCCACTCATCCCTAAATGCAGGATAGCACCTGTAAATCCTGCGGACTAGCCAAACAATCCCCCGGTTGGATTGTTTCCCCGATACCTAGGTAGTGTGAGAAGTATATGATTAATGTTTCAGAGATTAATGTTTTTGAACATTTGATTTTGAAGTATAAACTTCCATGTCTTGAGCATTATTTTTACACGGTGGGGTTATTATATTGTTTTAAATGCAAACTTTGTTTTTGTCTACTCACATGTTTTCTGTTTTGCGCCCCCCAGACAGTAGTCGCTCCAGGAAGGTTGCAAGCTGTGTACAAGGCTTGAACTGTGACTTCAGTAGTTAGGATTGAGTAATTTCTTTCTACTTAACTGTTGTTGTAAACTAAATCTGTTAGATGCTCTGTTATTGCCCATGTTAGGTTTTTACTTGAGGCCGGAGGCCATTATAGTATGTATTGTTGAATGTTGAAACCATGCTGCTAGTTGAGATTATTATGTTTTTTATGCAGGTTGAATTTTGTTGGGTTTGTGCATTTTATAGGGGAGACTCTACCAAATTTTGATAGAGAGTCTCGGTTTTTAGTAAGTGGGCCCAGCATCGGGGTGATGTCGGTAACAAGACGGGATCCGTCCCGGTTTCTGAGGTATTCCGGGGCGGGTCCTGTAAAAAATTGGAAGCCCATTGGGGTTTGGCCAAAAATTCTTAAGTAAATGTGTATGAGAATTGTTTCCATAAGCTAATGGACACACAAACACAATCCAATATCAATGAAATAGGTTTTATATATGATTTTGGGCCAAAATCTAAGCCTTTATACATTGGAGCATATGTTTATTAAGTCTTGGGCCTTGATATTTTCAATATAGAAGAGGTTTTGGGCTAAAGCCTTGAAGGCTTTACTTATTTAGGGCGCTGAGTGGGGATTTTGCATGCAAAATATTAGCCAAGTGTCTAATTTTTATTGGCAAAGTGTTTGGCTAGATGGGTGAAGAAACCATCTAAGTGTGGGCAGCTGCCCACAGTAGGCATGTATTTGGTCCGCCAGTGCTTCATTGTATCCACAAGACTTATTTGCATATCCCTTTGCACCCAAGTTTTGGGGCCAAATAAAGTCTAAAAGATAGCATCTACGTGCCTTGAAGCAACCTTTCATATCTTTCATCTTCCATAGCCATTCCCACAAGAGATACACATATCTAACACCTTATTTGAAACCAATGAGAAGTTGCTTGCGTATGTTTGTGTGGATCTGGTTGTTGTATAATTGCCATGTACATTTTGTTAATAAAGAAAATGTCCGTTATGGATCGATAACACTATGTGGTAATATGGTACAGCTACATTGGCAATATTTTACCCAAAAAAAAAAAAAAAGATTGAAATGGGTGCTTTCATTATGCTATGTACTTTTTCCCTTATTTGTCCCTGTGCTCAACCGCTGTGCAGCCAAGCTTAAGTTGTAGCTAGTTGACAATGAAGAAGAAAGTTTTATCATGGAATTTTACTAATGTTTGAGACCCCTGAATGAGGAGTTTTGAACATATAGAAATAGTTACACAAACACATCTATAAGAAAAACCCTTTTTACTAAGCAAAGGAAAATCCCAATGTATAGGATAAATTCTTGGCAACAACGTTTGTATACAACATTTCTACTCACGAAATTAGTAGTTAACCAAGAACTTGATGACGAAACAAAACTAATTATAGGATTGGATTGGAAGAAAAACTGAAACTATTATAAAAACTCAATTGAAAAAGAACATCAGAACACAAAATGTATGTTCTACCCAATTTTTATGTCGTTTTCGCATATGAAAATGTATAGTGAAAAATGGAAGAAAAAAAAGTAAAGTGCAAGTGGCTTTCAAAATTGGCTAATTATAAATTGAAGTAGAGTCTTGAAACTATCAACTTGTCTGTTTCTTTATCAGCTTTCTCTCGATGTTTGTTGTGTGCCGGCCATTACTGTCTTGTATTCCATCATCATCTAATTATAGAAGATTGTATTTCATACGTTTCTTTAATGCCATATGGCGCCATATAATATATTCGGGCAATTAGCTGAATAAATTACCTGAACTTCACATTGCAAAGGATGTGTAGTTGTGGGGGAATTTCTATGCGTCTTTATATGAAGGGGTCAAGGTTGTGGTGTTTGTTATGAAACTCTAGTGTTGAGCAAGATGGGTTTAGGGATCAAGGTTGAAGTCATTCACAAGGAAACAATTCAACCATCATCTCCAACTCCTCACCACCTTAAAAATTCCAACCTCTCTGTTTTTGATCAGTTTCTTCCAGATATTTATGTCCCAATCCTTCTCTTCTATCCCAACAATAATTGTGAAGAGGTCAATAATTTGGTAGCTGAGAGATCCAAGCTTCTAAAAACATCATTATCTGAGACCCTCACTCACTTCTATCCCTTTGCAGGAAAGTTTCAATATAATGATTCAATATGTTGCAATGACCATGGGGCTGCATTTCTTGAAACCCAAGTCAACTGTCCCATATCGAAGATTTTGGGAAAACCCGATTTCGTGATGCTAAAACAGTTGCTTCCAGCTGACACGGAATCCAGACAAGAAGGCGCAAGCTATCTGGTACAAGTCCAGGCCAACTTCTTTGGCTGTGGTGGAATGGCAATTGGAGTATGCATTTCGCATAAGGTATCTGATGCATCTACAATCAGCAAATTCATTAGTAGCTGGGCTGCAATTTCCTTTGGCTCCAATAGCACTACTCCTTTGGTGCTTCCTGCAGAATTTGGTGTTGCATCTTCTCTCTTCCCACCACTAGATATCCTAAACACACCCCAACCCCCCATGGAGTATGATAAAGAAAACTTGATCACAAGGAGATTTGTGTTTGATGCCTCAAAGATCGCTGCTCTCAAGTCCAAAGTTGCCACTGCCACTGTGCCAAACCCAACTCGTGTTGAAGTTGTGTCAGCGCTCATTTGGAAGTGTGCCTTTGAAGCATCAAGATCAAACCTGGGTTCTGTAAGGCCATCAGAGTGGTTTCAATTTGTGAACATGCGAAAAATATTGGTGCAGCCATCGGCAGAAAACGTAGCGGGGAATGCATTGGCGCTGGTTTCAGCAAAGACTCATGGAAGTAAAGTAGATGGTGATGTTCAAAGCTTGGTTGCTAAACTCAGGAAATGCTTTAAGGAGTTTAAAGTAAAATATGCTAATGATGTCAGTGGGGAAGATGTATGTGAATTCTTCAAAGATTATTGGAAACTCACCGATCAGGATGATGTAGACACCTATACTTGCAGCAGTTGGTGCAGATTTCCTTTCTATGCCGTCAATTTCGGATGGGGAAGGCCATCATGGGTGAGCCAGAGAATGGAATACAGGAATCTGATTGTGTTGATGGATACAAGAGATGGGGATGGCATAGAGGCATGCTTGACTCTCGATGAAGAAGAAATGGCCATATTTGAAGTAGACAAGGAGTTGCTTGAATATGCAGCTTTAAATCCAACTTTAGTTTAGTTTGCTTACTTTAGATGAATATTGCTGTACCTTCGATGATCTCTCAATGTTTGATGCTTGTATTAGTTTGTACCAAAAATAAATTTAAGACGTGTGCTTTCATAAATTACAAAAAGCATGTCATTAGTTTGGTCACTAAATTGTCGGCCGAAGAGAAAGAGAAACCCCCCTGACTTAGTCACTGCTAAAATATGAAAACTATGAGAGAATATTTGTTTGTGGGAATTTTCTGTGTATTCTTCTCCTTGTAGGAGGTCATATTTATAATACAACGAAACCTGAATGGGCAAGTAAATAATAAATTCCTAAATCTATTTACAGTAGGAAATCAGGAATTAAAGTAAATCAATTACAATTATAATAGGAATTCTTGGTGTGTAAGGAAAGTAAGTCAATATCCACAAGTCACGCCAACAGTCCTCCTCACGTTGGTGTATAGATGTCACCTTTGTCAAAATATCCTCCAATTGATCCTCGGATTTCACAAATGGAAACTGAAACACTTTAGCCTCAAGCTTCTGTTTGATGAAGTGTCGATCCACCTCAACATGTTTAGTACGATCATGCTGAACTGGATTCTGTGCAATGGCTATAGCAGCCTTGTTGTCACAAAAGAGATTCATTGTAGATGTAGGTTTATACCCAAGTTCAGTAAGCAACTTTCTTAACCAAAGAAGTTCACAAATCCCTTTAGTCATGCCTATAAACTCGGCTTCTGCACTGAATAAAGCTACTACATTCTGTTTCTTACTCCTCCATGTCACCAAATTACCTCCCACGAATGTGAAGCAACCCGATGTGGATTTTCTATCTGTTACATTACCTACCCAATCTGCATCTGAATAACCATCAATATTTAGATGACCATGCTTTGAGAACATAAGTCCTTTTTCCAGCTGCAGACTTCAAATATCTAAGTATCCGAAGAACTGCATTCATGTGGTCTTCACTTGGAGAGTGCATAAATTGACTGACAACGATCACCGCATAAGCAATGTTTGGTCAAGTATGTGACAAATAGATTAATCTTCCCACTAACCTTTGGTATCTTTATTTGTTAGTTGGAACTTGATCCGGATATTCTCCAAGATGATGATTCTGAATAATAAGAGTGTCCGCAGGTTTGCAATCTAGCATTCCTGTGTTTGTCAACAAGTCCAAGACATATTTCATTTGAGAGAGAAATATGCCTTGCTGAAATCGAGCCACCTCAATTTCCAAGAAATACTTGAGTCCACCTAGATCCTTCATCTCAAACTCTGTAGCCAAATAGTCTTGTAGTTGTGATATTTCCTGTTTATCATTCCCAGTAATAATCATATCATCAACATGAACAAGTCCAAGACATATTTCATTTGAGAGAGAAATATGCCTTGCTGAAATCGAGCCACCTCAATTTCCAAGAAATACTTGAGTCCACCTAGATCCTTCATCTCAAACTCTGTAGCCAAATAGTCTTGTAGTTGTGATATTTCCTGTTTATCATTCCCAGTAATAATCATATCATCAACATGAATTATTAATGTTGTTACCTTCCCTTTCCAATGTTTCAAGAACAGAGTATGATCTGAGTTGCACTGTTCGAAACCATTGTTCTTCATTGCCATGGTGAACCGTCCAAACCATGCACGTGGTGAGTGTTTCAACCCATACAATGCTTTTTGTAACCTACAAATTGTTCCAGTATGAGTAGTGTTATATTCATGAGGGATGTCCATGTACACCTCCTCCGTGAGTTCGCCATGTAGAAAAGCATTCTTTACATCAAACTGGTGTAGTGGCCAATCCAAATTAGCTGCAAGGGA